ATCTTAGCTTTCGATTTTATGCAAAGCAATTTGGAATAAATTTTTTTGTTGAAAAAGTGAGTTTTTTTGCTTGGAGATTGTTTTTGGTAGGTGAATTGTGAAATTAGGTTCCACAAAGAACTCAGAACCTGGGTTTTGCGAGGAATCTAGGGGGATGAGGACGAGGATGGTGAAGATGATGCCGGGAAAGAAGAAAATAAAGAAATTAAAATTAATGATGATTTAATTATAACACATTATAAAAAAAAGTCCAATATTAGATTAATAAATGTGACATAAAGTTCTGGGTTCCTGGTTTTTGGTTCCATGAGAAACCCAGGAAGATGAAGAGGAAGATGGTAAAGATGATGCGGGAAAGAAAAAAATGAAAAAAATTAAAATTAATTATGATTTAATTATGCCATATCATCAAAAAAGAAAGTTCACATTGGATTATGTTACTGTTTGATGCCATGTATTATAATTTTTAACGGTTATTAATGATGCCGTAACGGCCCGTTAAAATATTGGGTTTTTCACGGGTTTTGAAAAATGGAGGGTGTGAATAGGGAGGAAAAATTCTAGAAGGTGTTGACCGCGGAAAAAAAATAAATGGAAGGTGCAAATAGGGGTTTTGACCTTTATTTTTTTATATTGTTTATGAATGGTAAGTTTGAGATTTTATTAAAAAAATTTAAAAATTACTTTTAAAAATAAAAAAATGAGTAAAAAAAATTTATAAAAAGTTTGAATTTTTAATTTATGATTTTTTTATTGTTTAAGATTTTTTTAAAATTAAAAAAATATTTAAAAATATTAAATTTATAAAATATAAATAATGTAAAAAAACTTAAGAAGGAAGCTGCCTCAAACGACCCTTTAAAATTTTCCTTTTCACGAGAATCATGACCTTATATTATATTCTTTTTTACATATCTGTTATGTGTTCCGATGAACTTTGACAAAATTTGGACTTGTGCACTTTAAGCTCTAAATTATGAAAGCGTGATCTCGACAAATTGTGCTTTGACAAATGTGTTATTTAATGTCAAATTTATTGATATTGAAGGTCAAATTTTGAAAATACATACCTTTTACCTCTTCTCTCCTTCTCCCTAATTTTTTGTTATCTAAATAGGAAATTTTTTTATTTTTTATTTTGCTTCTTTTAAACTAAATAAATTATTAAGCTTAAAAACATATTTTCATAATTTAGAGAAATAGAATTTATTTGTATAATTTGAATGATTAAATGTACATTTT